TTAGAAATCAGGGTCATGGCCATTTAGGTGGCACGAAGGAGGATACAGGACAGATGGAGGAGAGTGATGAAAAGGCTGGTAGTAAGCAGCATGTTTGGTAATTCCAAGCAGCAAGGAAATGAGGAAAAGAGAGTAACAATGAAGAATAGCAGGTGAATCCCATGGCTGAGGGAAAAGGGAGTTTGTAAGAATAAGTCAAGAATTTTGAGCAGTAATTACTCAGCACAGTGGACTACACTATACAGTTTAGTTTATATTAAACTATACAGTTTGTGCCTTACCTAATTTTGAGAAGAACTTTATGAACATGAATATATTTTCCATCCACTAGAAACTTCAGGTCTGCAGTTTCAGGGTTATCAAATTCCTTCTTTAGTGACTGGGCTACTGTTAGATGGTCATCAGGCTCTACAATAAAAAGGGGAATTAACAGTAGGTAATACAAGTATCTCTCATGATAACATCCTGGGTATCTGCCAGCAATTAACACTCTTAATAAATACAACATCTCTTTAAGGCTAGTAAAAAACGTAGCAGACTATGTGTTCAGTGTGAACCCCCAGAAAAGCAAATAAAGGGCAGCTTTCTTCAGTCCTTGCTAGTTTCCTACTCCAAACAAATATCCCTATTAAAAAAAAGTAAGTCCCACTCCTCTAACTCATCTATATTAAGGCCAGAAAAAAAATATACCATAGTCTCAGAAGTTTAATGCTGCATCTGATAGCAAATGCTATCAGTCATTACTGGGTAAATTATTCTAATGAAAAGTGTTAGTTATTATAAGATACTCAAAAGGTCAATAAAAATCACAATAAGATTTGCTAGAATACTCCCACGAGGAGACATTATCTTACAGCAGAAATATAGCTACTGCATAACCAACATGTTGGTTGCAGTGAAACTGCCCAGTACAATATCCCTAAAGGTGAATACCAACAGTTACAAGTCTATTCAAAAGGTGTTTTTCCTAGACTTACAGTGTTAGAAGCACTCTTTGTGTGAATGTCTGCATATTCCTGTTTGTGTCATATGCGTGCATATCCCACTGTGCTTGTGACAGTTCCATTATCAAGTTACCAGACAGCCTTGAAAAGTCATCCATTGTCTGCATACAAGTTTTTACTTCCTGAACTGTTTCCAAATCTCCATCATATTTGGTAGCCTCAGAGAACTGTCTTCTTTAATGCTACTAAAAAAGTAACCCCCCAAAACCTCATTCTTAACCCAGAAAACATTTTGTCTTCTTACCGTATAAATACACATTATTGGTTTATACAGATTTCGTGGGTCAGTAATAAGCTGTTCTCTACAGAAAATTACATAAATGCTAGGTCCTGTAACCTACCAAGCTAGAAATAAGAATAGTATTCTGGAAATGGAAAGACCTTCACCACAAGCTCTAGAAAAAACTTAACACACACAGTTTGATACTGTTACACCTTGTTTAGCACAATTATTTTCCATTTCATTTAGAGGATGTCACTTATGTTCAGGTACACCCAGTTAGGGCAATTATTATCAAAGTGCATTGGATTACAGGTAAAAATGGGTTACATTGGAGGGGAAAAGCCAATGTAATAATAATAAAAAATCCTTCCGAAATAATGATATTGTGAAATACTTTATTAGTTCTTATTTTGTACAATGTGGTTTATTTATTCAGACCTCTGCTATCCGAATAAGTGTAGTGATTTTAACAACCAATGCAAAGCTGAAGCTTTGTAATAGTTCAAAGGATCCTGCACTATCCTGTTGTGAAGCCTATGTTCAAAGTTAACTGGCAATTCAGATGTCCATCAATATGCATCTCCAGATGACTTCTACGGCTCACAGAGGTAAGCTGAATATAGTGGGGTTCAGTTATGAAATTCTTGGAGGGAAAATAAGTGCTTTTATTTGTTATGGCAGTGAAGGGGCAACCAGAGGAAGGAAGTGAAGAGGCAGTTCACACTGACAAGGCACAAAGCCAAGAAAACTCCTTAGCAGTCAGTGCTAAGATTTGTAATAGAAATGTTAGAACTGCCATGAACAGGGAATGCAGGGGAATGCCTGGGTGTGGAAGCACCGGAATACAACAGACGGAAAAGGGCTATATGCACGGTAGCCGTCCATGGCACCTAGTTCAGCTGATGTTAAGACCCTAGGACACAGCTGCCTGATGATTCTCACCACACTTACATCAGGAGACAAAAACCAGTGAGTCAGTCCTGATGACTGGCCAAAGTGGGACACAATGGAGAGACTCTCCATCAGAGAGAGTCACTCTCAGCTCCTAGAGCGTGCAAAAAGGCACATCTGAAACCAGCACATGGTCACCTAACTAAAAGGAATCCAGCAGACAATGATGAGGGCCTGATAGCCAGCATCCTTTATCCTGGGTCATCACAAGGAACCCTGCTCAGACCACCTGAATACACATTTTAGTGCCGGGATGCTAGACAGACCACTTGGCACATACGAGAATGTGGGTTTGAAAGTCCATCTGAAACTAGTTTCATTTAAAAATAAAATAACCTTCTCCTCCTCTAAGGTTTCACCTTATGCTTTGGTATAATGTTGCAATGCTGTAGTAACCTTATTTCCAAAAGGCCCAAGAAGTCAAGATCAATAAACAAAAATAAAAGGAGCTGCTACAGTCAAAAATTACTCCCAGGGTGTGAAGCAGTGCAAGCAGGCTGGGTGTATCGTTCATGGTGACAATGAAGGTGGTGATAAAAGATATGCTGGGAAACAGTTATGAATGCAGTCTTAACCACGCTGTGTTAAAGAGAGTGAATATCTATGAGTATTAATGATCAATAAGCTTATTAATAAATGGGTTCCTTGGAAGTCTTCAGCATAAAGCTTATAATTACATGAATGATCATACATAATTCCACTCTGGACTCTCTTAGCTGACCTAAAACAGCATTTTTGACCTAATACAGCATTTGTAAAAGAAGGAAAGAAAAGGTGAATTTGCAGAAAGGAGCACTGAAAAATTGTAAGACAGTTTCATTCTCACTCAGGCAGCTGTCTTCTCTGTGAGGAACAAAGTAAGGAAAGAAGTAGTTTTTGCTTCTTGCCTTCCTCCACTCTCTGAAAAATTCCTCAGTACTCTGTGCTAAACTGAGAAGAAAAGACAAGATAAAAAGTGGAGGGGAAATTCTGACAGCATGAAATAATATTTTAACTGAGCAAGAAGAAATGGAAGCTGAAGAGCCCCAGAACCCTGCTAATATACATAAGGAGATACATATAACTGAATTAATTATTAAGCTACATTTACTAAAAATGTCCAATTTTCTTCATAAAACAACTGATTCTTATGGAAGAAAAATCCGAACATACTACAGATACTTCTGTGTAGAACTTAAAACTGACAAACACATATCTACATGGAATGAACCACCCCATTGCCTGGGATTTTAGTGCAGTAACACAATTTACATTGAATTAGTAGTAGGCAAATATTAAGAATATCAAGAATTTCCACAGTAATTAAGCATGTATCTTACAGTTCTGAACAAGCCACCCTAGAAAGCACAACTGCTTCAACCTACAGCAAATAGGTGTCTTTGGACTGTGTGCTAAAACATTAATTTTGGCAAAGAAGTTTCCTGAGAACAGGATTCTCCATTTAATCCTCCAGTCTCTTAAAGCTGAAATATGAGTACTATTAATATAATTTCCTTACCTTGGCATCCAGAAGGCACCAAGGGAGCAAAGAGTGTTCTACAATTGTCAGACAAAAGCATCCAGCAACACAAACGCAATGACAAAGGCAGTACAGAAGTGGAATGGAAGCATGGTGTCCTGGTTTCGGCTGGGATAGAGTTAATTTTC